TTTTTAAGTCTGCTACACACATAACACACCTGATATAAACCCACAACAGCAAGGAAATGTTACGCTCGGTCCCCTTTTTTGGAGCTTGTGGAGCTGTTTCTTTGTTTCACAACCAAGTTTCCTGTGTATTAATAAATAATAGATCCCACATTTTTGTTAGCAGCTTGGCCAATTTTTTCTTCTATTCCTTCAGAACTCTCAGACAAAACCTTCTAGAGAAGCGCGACGCAAGGAATCCATGGCTTCTCTTACTGTTCCAATGCCCAGCATTGCTCCAACTTCCTGTACTTTGGTGACTCACTGGACTGTCACAGGCTTCCTGCTTTGGAGCATCTTCAAGGATTTCTTGCTGGTTGTTGTCTTTGTTAATTCTTCTCCACTTCCCCCTCAGCCCTTCCAGTGTCCATCTAACCTTTACCTGCCCTAGATGATGCTCAGGCCTCACTCAGGCTGGATTGCTGGACACCTCTTCTACCTGCAATTCTGTTCCATTCTCAGTCTGAGCTCTGCTCTGCCAGTATCATGAACTGTTACATCCTAAGGATACGTCTACACGGTGATCAAAAACCCGCGGCACCGACTCTCAGAGCATGGTCAGCTGCCTCGGGCTCATGGCGCTCGGGCTGTAGGGCTAAAAATAGCAGTGCAGATGTTTGGGCTGGGACTTCAGCCTGGGCTGTGAGACCCTCCCCCTTGCTGAGCAAGCCTGGGAGCATCTAGCAGCAGAGAAATGGCACATGGGGCTTCTGGGACAAGCAGAATCCAGCTGGTTAACACGTTGCCAGGCTCTGCAGCGATGGGACAGGGAACTCGGTGCGTTACCGTAACTGGCAGAGTCCACGTCTCACGAGGAGTCACCGTTATGAAGCCCCTAGTTACGGGAACTCGCTGTCTTTCAGATCCTTCCAGAGGTAACGCCAGAGATTGTTCCAGGCACAGAGGAGAACAGGACCGTCTACAGGTAGGAACTCCAGCGTGCTGCAGGATGTGGCCTTAGAAGCCCTGTCCAAGCCTGACGTCTGCGTTTTCATTGTGCCCCCCAGAGCTCGCATCCCCAGTGCTGGCTCCTTCCGCTGCTCCGAAACGGGGCTTGGCTTTGAGGTGAGCGCAGCAGTGACCGTCGAGTACAAATACGGCTCCTGGGCGGAGAGTCTGAGCCCGTCTGCCCGGCAGGAGTGGATGGTCGCCGGCCCCCTGTTCCACATCAGGGCCGAGCCCAACACGGTGCGAGCCGTGCACCTCCCCCACTTCGTGTGCCTTGCAGGTAGGGAAGAAACGGGGCGTCACTGGGCTCGATGCTGGAGTCAGGGG